ATGGATTACTGCCAGCGCTACCCGTCAGACAGAGACATCACGGAAGAAAGAGAGGGAGGGAGGAAATCGCAGGCTCGGAGCCGGAGGCCGCGCCGGTGCAGAGTTGCACACAGCTCCTTGGCTCCTCCAGTCCCCGGGCAGTCAGCCTCGCTGCCCTGCAGTGTGTTGTTCTAGTCCAACACAGATGAACCTCAGATGAACTTGTAGCATCCAGGAAGAGCCTTATTCATGGACTTGGTTGTGGCATTAAGATGTTTTCTTGTACAACTCTAAAGATTTGATATGCATATAAAAAAAGACAGTGCTTCAGACTGTTAGTTTCTAATATCAAAGGCATTGACCAGCCAGTTTTCTGACTTCAAAAAATTATACCGACAGCCATGCCAACTGATTTTCTCGCTTTTATTTGTGGAAAGATTAGAATGTTCATTCAATGCCCAAATATTGTGTTGGGTTTTTTTTTTTAAGAAATCTGTGTAACACTGCTTAGGATCTCTTGTTTCCAACTCAAATTCAGGGAGAGTGGCCTGTGTGTAATTAATTCCTGTAGGGAATTTTTTTTAAATATAACTTTAAAGATCTTCAGAGATAAAAATGAATAATTTGTGTCAAAAGTGGAATTTCTAAATTAATTTGTACATTTTATTTTTATATAACCAAGATTCACACAGTTTTCCTTTTCTTCTGCCTGATGTTCTATTTTTGAAGCTATCATGCTACACTATCTAATATAGTAGCCACTTACTAGTAAGATTATTTAAATGTAAATTTATACTAATTAAAATTAAATCAAATTTAAAATCTATTTTCTCAGTCACACAGTTGCCCAATGGCCACATATAGCTGATGCCTATTATTCTAAATGAAGCAGATACAGAACATTTTTGTCATCTCAGAAAGTTCTTTTGGACAGTACTTAAGATTTGTAATGGGAATGTCTCTCACAGTGCCCTTGTTTGGCTAAATAATTCTAAAAAGAATTCAGAGGTTCCCTGCATGCATTTTAGAAACACATCGCAGAATCCACACGCCTAAACATGGTGATATCATGGATAATCTCACAAATGAACAGGGCTAATGTCCTACCAACCTGATGGCAGCTCTTAACTGGTGGTCTTAGGGTAGCTGGCTCCTAATATGAGCTAGTTTTAGGATTTGTAAGTCAATGTGGAGCTTAAAAGACATCTACCCAATGGAAAAATGTTGCAAATAAGAGACCCAACCTGAATACTTTCTGAGATGAAAATTAGTGGGAACAGTAACCAGCAGAAAATCAATAATCAAATCTCAGTATTTTGGGCAGGCAGTGTGGCTCAGTGTTGGAGTTCTTGTCTAACAAGAGCAAGGTTATAGACTCAATCCCAGCATCTCAGAAAAAGAAAAAACAAAAACATACATAGGCACACATGTGCGTGTGTGCGCACACACACACACACACAGACCTACACACATAGAAAATAAGGTTAGATTAAGTTTCTAATTATCTAAGAATAAAACATCTTATTGGAAATTAGGCAGTTTTCAAGGCAGGAGCAGATGGGGTAGATCTTAGCTTAGCTTTCCTGCCCCTGGGGATCCTGTCCTAGAGAATTCTCTATCCTAGGGAATTCTCTGTCCTAGGGAATTCTCAGAGTAGGGAAAGGTCATACCACACCTATAAGATTCTTTTCTTTTTAAACAGGGCCTTGCTATGTAGTTCTGGCTGGCCTTTGAACCCTGTGGCCTCAAAATCATGATCTTTCTGCCTCAGCCTCCCAAGTGCTAGGATTGAAGAAATACGCCACCACCCCTGCCAAGGATTTGGTTTGGTTTGCTTTTTTTCTGTGGTATTGAGAATTGGACCTGTACTATAGTGTAGTGCTGTACTACTGAGCTACCCACCCCAGTCCTTTAAGGTCAAGTCTCACTGCCCTTTCTAATCATAGTTTAGAAAAGCAGTCTGGAAGAACCGACTCCATAGATCACTTGTGGGTCTGTTATTCACTAATATCAGACATTTCTGGAGCTGTAGCCACACCCAGCATCACCAAAGCAGCATCGTCTGCCCAGAGAAAGCAGCACAGTTGGTACTCCCACCTCAACAGGCCTGTTTTCCCAGCCATCCCCTCACTCTAACCTCCAGCCTTTTTGTCTGAACAGCTCAAAGGCCAAGTTATGACTGAAGCCTGTGCTCACAAATCCACTTCTCCATAAAGTCAGGTTAGAAAAAATAAAGTTGATCTTGGAAGTTGATTCTTAGACTATGAGGCAGGTTTAATTAGAAGTAAAGGAAAATCTGTGCAGTGATCCTGCACGGACTTTTAGAGACTTCCAAGAGCTCTTATCACTGATGGGCATGATTGTACTTTTTGTTCTTATTTTATTTTCAGACTCACAGCTTTGCTTCTCTTGGCAGTGGTAAGTCACCACACTGCTCATATAAACAGATTCATATTTTTCGCACAATTTGGAGGAAGAGGAGAGAGCAACTTATTTTCTAGGGGACATTAAACAGAAATCAGGAAAAAAACGAGCCACATACAAATTGCCCTCAAGAACATGTTGCATTTTTTCAATTTTCTTTTCTTAATTACCTGAAATGATTACCATGCCATATGTACATCCACCTCGTGTTGTTAACAGCTCCGCGTTATTACTCTGAGCTGTGGGGGTGATCTCATGCCTGAATGCCAGAGAACATGTGCTATGCGCTTAATGTGCTTTATCATGGCAACCCATTTAATGAATTAATGATTTCGTTAACTAATGCATTTACACTGATCTTGAACTTAAGACAGAAGAGTTAAATAATAGGAGTGAGAGATTATGAAATAGATCTTTCTCTCCTCTGTAGTTAGCAAAATTATCAGCAGCCAGTTTCGGGTCTAATTCAACAGCCTCTTTCTGTGCAGCACGCTAAGGATTTGGGTTAACTGAAGTCAAAGATTATCAGAAGTCACACTTCCCTGTTCCTTTTCCAAAAAGAGGAAAGAGGATAAAGGCAGATATGAGGATCATAGACCTCCTTAAGAATATGAAAATAGTTGTAGAATAATGCTTAGAAGTGTGAGACTCCAGGTGGATCAGTGAGGACAGTCCAGGCTGTGCATGGGATGATTAACAAATGCCGTAGTTTAGCAGCCTCTTGGGATTCGCCAGGTTCTAACCACAGCACTCCACTTCCCTGTGACCTCAACGCTCACAATCACTTGAACACCTTGGATATTTTCCGAGTCTTATAGAAAGTGTTATTCACATACAGTTTACTGTGAGTTCTGTCCACAGCCCGTCTCCAGCCAAAGTGCCTCCCTTTATGTCCCCTTCCTAGCAAATCTGTCTTCTGTCGACCAGCTGTCTTCATTTTAAATATGTGAAAACTGAGGCCCAGGGAGGGGGTATAACTTGTTTAGCTCAAAGGCTATTTGGAAGCAGGTGACCCACCATTTCTTTGAAAGCCATAAGCCAATTGCAGGACTTGAATTCCTTTGACAAATTTGGTGGCTTATTTTTATCTAGAGATCACCAAAAAATAGCATTTCTGGATCACTGCTTTAAAATGCAATTCATTCTGTCTCTATCTTCTGTCTCTGGTTCCCTCTCTCTGTCTGTCTCTCTCCCTGTCTCCCTGTCTCTATCTCTATCTTTCTCTTCCTATTTCTGTCTCTGTCTCTTCCTCTCTCTGTCTGTCTCTCTCCCTCTGTCTCTCTCTCTTCCTGTCTCTGCCTCTCTATCTCTCTGTCTCTCTCTCTCTCTGTCTCTCTCTCTCTCTCTCTCTCTTTCTCTCTGCTGGTGGTACTGGAGAACTCAAAGCCTTCAAATGAGCTACATCCCATCCCTTTTTTAATTATCTATTTTGAGACAAGGTCTTACTAAATTGCAGGTTGGGCTTGAACTTGTGATCCTCTTGCCTCAGCTTCTTATAGTGCCGGGATTACAGCGGTATAACAGCATGCCCAGTGCAATCATACATCTCTTAGTGACAAGGATACATCCCCAAAAAATGCATTTTTACCTGATTCCCTTCAATGTGGTCTGTGCAAACATCATCACACGTACTTACACATACCAACATGGTATTGACCAATCATCCAGTGTGGTCTCTCTCTTTTCTTAGATTTGTTGTTATTGGTTGTTGTTATTTTGGGTTGTTTTTAGTTTTGCTTTTATTTTGAGATGGGATCTCACTATTTAGTTAAGCTGAACTTTAACTTACTATGCGATCCAGGTTGGTCTACAATTCACCTCTATCCTCCTGCCTCAGCTTCCCAAGTGCTGAGATTACAGATGTGCACCACCACACGTGGCCAATGTGGTCTCTCAATATTACAGACAGTAGTAAATATAAGGTGTATTATGGAACATCTGCCAGCAAAACATGCAGTACTGTTTTACCATAAAGTGTTTTTAGAGTTTGAAGGAGCACACTACAATAATAGAAAGCATAGTATGGTAAATACATAAACTAATATAGTCATTTATTATCACTACCAAACGTCATCTGCTGTGTAGAATTGTATGTACTATACTTTTACATGAGTAGCAGTGCAGTCATTTATGCACACCAGCACCGCCACAGTCACATGAGTAATGTGTTGCTGTAGTAACTAAGCTGTTACTACAGCCGCAACCTCAGTAGGCAATGGTAATTTTTCAGCCCCATTCTAATGTCATGGGACCAATACCACATATTCAACAGTAATTGAAACATCATTTTTATGGCACATGACTTTATTTCTTAAATTATTTTTCTGCATTCTGGAATTTGACCTCTATTATTGCAAGGAAAGAGAGTATCTGTTGCCCACACATAAGTCTATGCCTTCCTAGAGAGACTTGTGAACCCGGATCACAATGCCAGCCACTTAACCCTGCCGTAGCTTGACACATTCAATGAGAATTTGGTGGGATGGGGTGTTAATTATTTCTACTCTTTCCTTCCAGTTAATATTATGATAGTGTCTTTTTAAATTTTTTAAAGAATTGGAGCCTTCTGGATAGTGATCTCTTGTTTCTTCTTACAGTCCCTTATCAGCAGAATCCCTACACTCCCCCGGGAAGCTCCAATGTCATCCAGTGCTACAGATGCGGAGACACCTGCAAAGGGGAAGTGGTTCGCGTCCACAACAACCACTTTCACATCAGATGCTTCACCTGTCAAGGTAGGAGCCAGGATCTCCCAACTGTCTTCTAGGATTCCTGACCACACCCTCCAGCAGGGCCTGCCTCAGGCACAGAAAACAGATACAGACAGCTAATATATTGAAAAAGCCTGCAAGACTTTCCTTGAGCTGCTTCTTAAGAGAATTCTCCCTTAGGCAGTGGGAAGCAAAGGAGATTAGAACAGAACAGTGTTCAGATGTGAGGGAGAAAGAGAATAGGTGACTGTAGAAAGGTTGAGGCTGGCCCAGGGGAGAAACAGTCCTGCAAGCTTAACTTAAATATCTAAAAAGACTCCTGGCTGTGCCAACAAATCAATTTGAGAGCAAATGGTGGCACACGCTATCTTGGCTAAATCCTGCCTGGCTCCGAATTGATCACCTGTTCCACAGCAGGGTGAGTCCTCAAAGATTAGGTTTAGCAAGAGAGGATATCCATCTTGACCTTACTAAGATTTGTAATTGGAATCAGCCAGATACTGAGTTACTTCTAATCATTGCAGCTAACTCATAGCTAATTTACAGAATTACAGACTGAATCTAGCTAAAATAAAAAATAAAAAGCAGGATAAGTCCAAGGGACCACCTTTTCCACGGTGTCTCTAACCAGTGTCTCTCCAGCCACCCCTTCCATACCCTGCCTGCAGGCTCCCCGGCTCACACAACATCCGTTCTCAAGGTGGACTGGTTGTGGGTTCAGGAAGCACTTGATTTAAAATCTGTAACTTCCACCTGCTTATCCTAGGTTTGTCCTCATAAAATTGAGAGAATGCCTTGCATTTGCTTTTCCTCATGACTGCCCTTCAGATACCTGTAGCTTGGTCTTTCTGTGTACAGTTATAGTGCAAGTCCTTGCATTAGGGCCTATCTGAAGTTCCGGTCTGTGTCATCCACAACTCTTCCTCTTTGATCTGTGCTAGTCTATCACTGTCATTCTGAAAGCAGGGTACCGGAACAGATCTGGGTCCAGCAAGGACTGCATTTCTGTTAAGTAGTTGATGCTGGATTGACTTCCTATGGAGCCACTTGACACCATTGACTTGGACTGAATTTAGAGTCAATTGAAGCCCCAGATCTTTTGGTATCGGTCACTACCTCCATCTTGTGTGTCTGAGATTGGCTTTCTAGCAACTGAAGCAAGGAAAAGAATAAAGTCAATAAAATTGTTACAAGGTGACCCTATGATTGTATTCTCGAGTGTTTCCGGTTACCCTTTGCTTAAACCAAAAGTGATAATTGACCTGTCCCTCACCTGGCTTCTCATGCCCCAGCAGACTGACCTGGACTCAGTCATATGGTGGTCTCAGAACTCCAACTGCTAGAAGAGAGCAAGTCTCAGTTTGTGTCACATGTGTCAAAGTCCTGCAAAACAAGTCAAAGGCCAACCCTGATAGAAGCTCACGGAGAAACAGACTTTGCCTTTTATGGGAAGATCTGGTTTTGAGAGTGCAAATGCAGAAAAGGGAATAATTTGGCCACTTTGAATCTAACACAATGAAATTATAGAGTTACTTTCAATTGAGTTTTAAGGGGGGAAACAGACCATTATTTTTCTGACTATTTTATATGTTAACATACTTAGGGATAAAACAAATGACATAATTTGTGTTTCCAACAGTAATCAGTAATGAGGCCAGTTACCCTGAAGAACCTTCTTACTGGAGAATTCTAAAATTTCTGTGCATTTTTGTTACAATGCTTCACATGCAGTACTGCGCTGACATGAAAAGAATCTGTGCAGGTCAAGAAAATGGAAGTAGAAATTCTGATGTGACTTCTGATGCCAAATTTTACTTCATTAGTTTATGCTAAACCTTGGAGACCTTGGGATTTTACCTTCATATTCAAGTGGATCGTGGAGAAAAAGCTACAATCTGAGAACCGAGGAAAAGTGAGAACTTGGTAGGAGGCTTCCATGTGTAGCTAATGCTTTCCCCTGCAGAAATCTTGGTGTGTGAAAGGCGAGAAACAAACTGGCTCTGGCGAGAGACAGAAATGAAACTTGCCTGTCCCGGTTTTAGTACCGAGTAGGAAGGACTAACCCTGGTATGAAACTGTCTGTCAATGACACATCCTTTACATGATTTCTGGACGACATTCATGCTATGTGTTTGGTATAAATTTAAAATTAAGCAGAAAATTTAAGAGAAAACCCCACACTTGGCAGTATCAGAAGCAACTGATAATCCTTTTTGGAGCAGCTCAAATTTACTTCAGACCTCAAAGAATTCCCATAAATGGTGTTATTAGGAAAATTAGTAACGCAGAACCAAGGCCATACAAATCTTAATGGAGAAAGAGGTAGGAGGAACAGTGGAGAACAGAATCAGAACCTCTAAAACTTTGTATATTGACATTTATATAATAATTCTATAATAAAATCCTGCAAGAAAATATAGAGGACAGTGTAAAGTGTAAAAGAAATATACGTACACACATCAGAGTGAAACTTCTGGTAATCAGAAAAAGATCATCTTAAAAATAACCAGAGATAAATAACAGATCATGTCCATGTGAACAATAAATAGGATGACAGCTGACTTTTAATAGCAACAAGAAACCATAAAATAGTAAAATAAACCTCCAACATTCTGAAAGAAATAACTATTAAAGTAAGACTATATATTCAGTAGAACTATCTCTCTAGAACAAAGACAAAGTCATATAGTTATTGGTGAAGAGAACGTTTCCCCATGAGATCATGAATAAGACAAGGATGTCCACTCTCACCACATGTTCATGCTAGGTTTAATAGGAAAGAAAAGAAATAAAAGACTCCAAATTGAAAAGGAAGAAGGAAACTTCTGTTTATATGCATGGCATGAATTTGTGTATAATAAATCCTAAAGAATGCACTAAAAAACTATTGGAATAAAAATTTCTTCAAGATTTCAGGATGCAAGATCAGTGTACCCAAATCAATTGTATTTCTCTACGTTGACAGTGAACAATATGAAAATAAAATTGAGAAAAAATTGCATTTAAAATAGCTTTAAAAATACATTAGGATAAATTTAATAAAATAAGTGCAAACCTTGCACTGTGGCAACTACAAAACATTAAAGAAGTCCTAAATAAATGGGACATCATTTCATGTTCATGAGTCAGAAACTTAATATTCCTAAGATAGCTACACTCTTCAAATGGATCCACAAATTTAATGCTATTTTTGCTCACATTACCATAATAAAATGCCATAGGCTAGGAGGCTTAAATAACAGAAGTTATCTTCTCATATTTCTGAAAACTAGGAAGCCCAAGATCAAGGTACCAGCATGATTGGATTCTAGTGAGTTCTCTTCCTAGCATACAGAGAGCCACCACGTTGTTGAAACTTCACAGGGAAGAAATAAAGACAGACAGCAAGGCATAGAGAAAGAGTACTGTGTCAGTTAATAGTGACTGGATTAAGAGGTTCCTGGAGAATGATTGCATTGTGAAGAAGTGAGCATCACCAGTGGGTTCATAATACCACCTAAGTTCATAACTGAGTAGACTCTTAGGAAGTGGGACCTACTTGGAGGAAGTGGGTCTTTGGGTCATGCTCCCCAGGACTATATCGGGTCCCTGTCCCCTTACTAGCTGGCTCTTCCTTGCTTTCTGTCTCTGCTTCTTGCAACCATGAAATTAATGGCTTTCCTCTGTCACACCCCTCTGCCATGATATTTCTGCTATGGAGCAGCTAACCATGGACTATACCCTCTGAAAGTGTGAGCCAAAATCAACCTTTTCTCCTTTAATCTGTGGGTATCAGGTTTTTTTTCTCAGCAACAAAAATGTGGCCAATACTGAAAACTGGTACTGAAGCCCTAGAGAAGCCCTAGAATGCTATAAGCAGAACTTGATGGGTGGCTCTGGTGGTAATTCCAAAGGCCAGAATGCTCTTATTGGGTATTTAATCCCCATGACAAAAAGCTAACTGATGCAGACACTAATCCCATCATGAAAGCTCCACCCTAAAGACTTTATCTAACCCTAGTTACCTCACAAGGCCACATCTTCACACACAAATCACGGTGGAGTTTAGAGCTTTAATGTGTGAGCTTGCACGATACACCTTACAGCAAGTGTTATCTTTATAGAAATCCCAGCTGGCTTCTTTGCAGAAAATGCTGGGTGACCCTAAAACGCATGTGGAATTACGAAGGACACAGAATACCCAAGCAGTCTTTAAAAAGAAAAGCCAAGTTGTGGGCGGGCTTTGAACCCAGGGCTCATGCGTGCCAGGAACATGCCGCAAGCCTCCAGCCCTGGAACTGGACTTCATTGACTCTTTCCGATCTCTTCTCCTGTCCATTTTTTTCTTCTCTTCTGTACTCCTTTCCTCTTCTCTTCCCTCCTCTCCTTCTTCCTCCTCCCTTTCCTCCCTTTCCCTTCCCTCCCTCCATTCCCCTCTTCCCTTCCCCTCTCTTTTTCTCCTCTTTCTTTCCTTCTCTGCTCCCTTCCATTCCATTTCTGCCCCGTCCCACCTTTATTTCTCACACAGCCACTTTTATTTTTCTACTCAGATTTTCTATAGTTTCTATTATGTATAATTTTATATGCAATAAAATGTTTCCATTTCATGTTAATTATTAACAGTTTTATAGTTTATGCTACTAGCAATGATTTGGGGTCGTGTGTCATGGATCAAGGTATGGGAAGTAGTGATGAAAATAAATTTGGCTACAGACAATCCATACAAAAAAAAAAAAAAAGCCTTTGTAAATCCTTGCCAGAAACTGTATTACTATCATTACATGTGCGAAAATAACTACTATGCTTTCATGAAGTCCTGGAATCCCAATATTCTCAGATAGATTTTGAGTATTTTCATTCAATAGTTCCACTCAAATTTCTATTTACTTGCATTTGCTTTCAGAGTATATTTCTCCTTTTATACATTAATACCATACATTGGCACTAATAATGTTAATCTGGTTTTGGAATTCTCTTATGAAGTGATCTAACAAAGTAGCAGTACAATATATAAATTAAGCATTATTTATTTCATGAAAATCTTA